CTGTTCCCCTTCCCTGATTTCCCAATAAAATCTTAAAAAAAAAAAAGTGTTCCTATTATTTTTTGTGTGATTCAGATTCATGAAGCAATAAGTCTTTTGGTGTTCATTTATCAAGGACATATCATAAATCTTGATATACCAAATAGCTTTTCAGAGAAACAACAGTGAAAAGTAGTTCTAAGGCCTATTTCACTCATCTAACCTCTGTTTTCTGATGTAGGATTCAAATATTAACAAAGAAACAAACAAACAAAAACCAGATTTAAGTGGAAAGTTGCTTGAGTTACTGTGGATCAATAAGAAAATGGAATAAAAACAATATCCCCAAACCTCGTATGAACCATTAGGATTATCCCCTTCAGACATTTTGCAAAGTGGCTAATGAGTCATCAGCAATTACTTTATTGAGCATTGCAAGGTGTATAGCATTGTACATAGCTTGAAAATGTCAAAATGCTTTTGTGACACCCTCCATAAAAGCTTCCCAAATATCCATGGTTCTGTGGTTCTTCTTCTGTGCTCCAGGAAGCATTCTGCTAGTACCTTTGCTGCAGCACTTACTATGATGTGTTACATGTACCAGCTGTACCATGTGGTCTCCCTACTAGACTTCTGAACTTTCCAAAGATGGGATCCATGTAGTGTTCTCTGCAACCTTGATATTCAAATACATAGTTGATAGATGAATGAATGAATGAATGACCAGTGCTTCACTCTAGTTCCTTCTCCCAACTCCCTAGTCTGCATTTAGATGGAAGTGTTGATGCTGAATGAGAACCAACATTGAAAAGGCACAATGGAAAAGAGGAGTTCCAAAAAGCATGGCTGACTCACACACTAGGAAATCAGCTCCACATTGGTGAAGATTTGGCTAGCCTCCCCAAGGGCCTGAGGACCTAACTGAGCCACAGAAAAATCTTCAAGCCAGAGATGAGGTTCATCAACCCAAACTCCCACCTCAAAGCCCAAAATAGCTTGCTGGGAGCATCCCAGCAGCTTAGCTACCTGCTGGAGCCAGTGCCCATGAACCAGAGGCAAAGCCAACACTAGTGGTCCAGCATGGAGGATCTCAGCCACCTAACCCTAAGGATATTTTTTGCTTTATTATCCCTTTCCAGATTTCAAAAATGGCCACGCAAGAATCAATAAATAAGACACTAAACAACTATCAGTGAAACAGAAGACATTTTCAAATAGCTCTCAAGAAGCAGTCTGGATACCATGCTCCTTGCATGGTGCTATGGGGCTCAAGCTGCCATTGATGACCTCTTTGGGCCTTTCAGTTTGCAAATGTGTACACTATGAGGGAATACAGAGTCCGTGGGAGGCAGTAAGCAAGATATTGTACATGGATGGCTGATCGCGTCATCACATAGGCCAAATCCAACTGCGACTAGTCTGTGTGATGGATGATGGAGAAAACTCTGCCATAGTCCAGGGAGGCATCTGAATAGTAGTATCACACTGCATATCTGATATACCAGGTGTGATGGGACACGGTGCAAAAGACCTTGGATCCTGAAATGCCAACAGTAAGCCGTGAAACTGAAGGCAAGCCGTTGACTCCTGGTGCCTCACTCCAATGAGGGTTTGGCTAATCCATCTCTTTGGTCAGTTCTAAGATTCTCTTTCTTTCATCTGGCAGGATTCTTGACCAATCAGTACTCTC